AAGAGGCATCCAATCAATGATTCTCATATTTGATGTTTCTATCTCTCTCTCCCTCTCCCTTCCTCTCTGAAATAAAAATATGTTAATAATGCTTTCCAGACAGCAGTTTTAACATAAAAGAACCAAGATTTAGGAAAAAGTCACCATAAATATGGAGAAGCCACCTCTTTGGTTTTACTTACCTATTTATTATCAGAAACAGATATCCCATGCCACTTAACACTACAAATGCTGAGAAACGGAAACAAAAGTATATAAATTGATTAAACTTATTTGCTCATGGCGTATCAATCTTCCAAGTTTATTTTTTACATCTCCAATATTGAGAGGAACACTAAATTGTATGTACCTAAACAAAATAAACACCTATTTTATCCAGCATAAAACTTCAAGATCCTAAAAGATGCTTAGGGGCATTTTATGGCAAGTAAAAGTGAAAATTAAAGTGGGATTTTTTTTTAACCCATTCTGACAGAATAATAACTTACATTTATGGAACACTGAATCCATCTTCACAACTACTTCAGTTAAATACCATTATCATCCACATTTTGCAGATAAGAAAAAGTTGCATAGCTATTAAGACAACCAGGATTTGAACCTTGGCAGTCTGGAGATTCTGCTGCTACTGCACTACAGTTGCCTCAGAGAAAACTTTAAGACAACTAGTTACAGACTAAGGCAGTGGTTCTCAACCTTCCTAATGCCGTGACCCTTTAATACAGTTCTTCATGTTGTGGTAACCCCCCAACCATAAAATTATTTTCATTGCTACTTCATAACTGTAATTTTGCTACTGTTATGAATTGTAATGTAAATATCTGATATGCAGGATGTATTTTCATTGTTACAAACTGAACATAATTAAAGCATAGTGATTAATCATAAAAATATGTAATTATATGTGTTTTCCGATGGTCTTAGGCGACCCCTGTGAAAGGGTCGTTCGACCCCCAAAGGGGTTGCGACCCACAAATTGAGAACCGCTGGACTAAGGACTATTACAAATCTTCTCACCAAGCCAAATGGTCCCTGGCCCCAGTTCTGCCTAGAGTGGCTAATAATCCAGAAGACATGGCTATCTATAGAAAATAGCCACCAGAGAGAACTAGGGTCCCTAGGGCAGAAGTCACTTCAGCTCTGCAATCATTTTTTAAAAATATGTTTTTATTGATTTTAGAGAGAGGGGGAGGGAGAGGGATAGACAGAAACACTGATGAGAGAGAAACTTAGATTGGCTGTCTGCTGCACAACCCCTACTGGGGGTTGAGCCCACAACCTGGCATATGCCCCAACCAGGAATCAACTCGGTGATCTCGTAGCTCATGGGTCCACGCTCAAACCAAGCCGGGCCTCTGCAATTTTTTAATACATTTTTATTTATTTTTTAGAGAAGAAAGAAGAGGGAATAAGGGAGGGGCAAAGGGAGGGGAAGGAGAGGGGATGGAAGAGAGAGGGGTAGAGGGGCAAGAGGGGTAGAGGGGAGGGGAGAGAGTGGAGAAGGGGGCAAAGGGGAAGGGAGAGGGAGAGAAACATCAATGTGAGAGTAACACATCCATCAGCTATCTCCTGCACACACACCCCCTGCTGAGGATCTAGCCCATGACCCTGGCATGGGCCCTGACTCGGAATCAAACCAGCAACCTTTCGCCACACAGGACGACACCCAACCGAGCGACACTAGCCAGGGTAACTGCAATTATGTAGCCAAGGTATAGCTAATTTTCAGTTACAAAAATACATATCCACGGTAGTTTATGCAATAAATTTTACCCTCTATCAAATGCATTTATCCTAATCTGAATTATTTTATCTGCAAGCTCCACAATGGCAGTGACCTTGTTTATGATTTACTTGCTCTCTAGTACCTTGAACAGTGACTAGCACACAGGCCAATAATAAAATTTGTAGAATGAATCAATGGACAAATATGTACTATGAGTGTTTCTCAAACTTGACTGTGCAAAAGAATCATCTATGGATCTTGATAAAATGCAGATTCAGAGTCAATACGAGGTTACAGGGTCAGAGAGTTTATATTCTAAAAAGCCCCTGGGTAAAGAAGTTTTCTGCTAATCTAGAGCTCACACTTGTAGTAACAAGTTAACTGGACCAGCCCAGGTCATTTTCCTCAAGCTCTCCAAGTTGTCAAGAGTCAAAATTCACTTACTTTCCACCATGGAAGAAAATCTTAAGTTTATTCATCAATAAAGATATTGGTGCTGTTCCTCTAGTATCAGAGGAAAAGACATCACCAAAGTCCCACTACTTCAGTCAGATGGCATCTGACAATTGTTTAAAAAACAAAATAAAACTGAGGCCTCTCTAGATTAGTGGCTTAATTTAGGGGTCATGGATTGAAATGAAAATATAATCAAAACTAGAGACTTCTAGAAAGTTCTACATGAGATTTATGAACTCCCTTACTAAAGATTAAAACTATTAATAGATATTTAGCATTTAAGTAATGTAAACAGTCCTCAAAGAACTGAGCCATTTACTTCAAATTGTTATCTGATAAAGGCAATGGCTAACTATACAAATGAACTTAAAAAAAAAAAACAACAATCCTCAAATGTCAGTATTAAATATCAAAATAATCCTTTTCAGAAAAGGGTGCCTTTTAACTCCCAGTGTTTATAGTCAAGTCAACAAATCATTTGTTACTTTTAAATGAAAACGACCACAAAACTGAGATGAAAGTTATCTTTCATAAGTATATATGAAAGCAGCAGCTCACATATGGTTTTTATGTACCAGATTCTATTCTAAGGGCTTTATATTAACTGTCAATCCTCTTAACAACCCTATAAGATGGATTTTTAATATTATCCTCATATATTACTATTATTCTCAACTTATAGATAAGAAAACTGAGAAACAGAAGTTTAAAAAAAACTTGCTCACCCTGACTGGTGTGGCTCAGTGTATAGAGCGTCAGCCTGTGGACTGAAAGGTCCCTGATTCGATTCCGTCAAAGGCATGTACCTTGGTTGCGGGCACATCCCCAGTGGGGGGTGTGCAAGAGGCAGCTGATCGATGTTTCTCTCTCATCAATGTTTCTGTCTATCCCTCTCCCTTCCTCTCTGTAAAAAAAAACAAAAAAAAATATTTAAAAAAAAAAAAAAAAACTTGCTCAAGGTCATACAATTAGAAAGTGGCTCTGCCTGAGCAGGCAGCCTGGCCCCAGAGTCCACGTTCTTAACCACTCTTTTACGCAACCTTGTACATAAATGTACCTTATCATTATTACTCAACCATTGCGCTCCTATTTTTTTCCTTCCCCCAACTCAAAAGACTAGAATAATCCTATTTCTCTTACCTTGCTCAACTGCAAATTTTGTAAATTCTATAAATTTACATTCTCACAGCCAATTCAACAAATATTTTAGTACCAACTATGTTACTCTGTTGATAAGGGGAAAAGTGCCAATAAACACACATTCAGCGAATCTTTGATTTCCTCTGAAAAATTATCATAAAAGCTAGGATATTTTTTAGCCCTAGCTGGTTTGGCTCAGTGGATGGAGTGTCGGCCTGTGGATCAAAGGGTCATGGGTTTGATTCCGGTCAAGGGGCCTGGTCTGGGCCCTGGTTGGGCATGTGCAGGAGGCAACCAATCAATGTGTTGCTCTCACATTGATGTTTCTGTCTTTCCCTCTCTCTTCAAAAAACCAAACCAAACAAAACAAAAAAACTAGGATATTTTTTAGAATGAAACGGGGTGAGACATCTGTTCCAGAACACAGGTGTACTATGACTGTCCAGGATGAAACGGGAAGTATGGTCTCCTCTACCTATTTTGCAGTTTGTGGTGTCTAATGGTATGGAATACTAGCAAACTACATGCTACACAAATTCTGATTACTCTTGACTTTTCTGTCCTGACACAGAAAATGCTTTTCTCAATAACATATAAATCAAACCTTAACTCATCTCTGGAATTTGGCTTTATGCCTACAGTTCATACCCTACTCCTAGTAATATTCATCTAAAGTACTCCTCTTGTCTTTGGTTTAGAGCCAGTAATTTATAAATTCAGAGATATTTTTTGAACCAAAGATTGGCTCAAATGGTCTAACAAAGCAACAGACAGGAAAGGAAATATGAGTATGTGATAGTCAAGTTTCTTTTTCTTGCATTTACTTAATACTTATACATTAGAAAAAGTTTTTTTTTCAATAGAGCAAATATGAAATGCCTATTTGCATTTTATCATTTATATCCCTTTAAATCTTACATGTAAATGAATCTGTATTTTTTTAAAAATATATATTTCTTTATTGATTTCAGAGAGGAAGGGAGAAGGAGAGAGACAGAAACATCAAAGATGAGAGAGAATCATTGACTGGCTGCCTCCTGCATGCCCCCGACTGGGGATCAAGCCCACAACCCAGGCATGTGCCCTTGGCCGGAATCGAACCTGGGACCCTTCAATCCACAGGCTGGCACGCTATCCCGGGCGGCCAGGGCGAATCTATATTTTTAACATACTAAAATCTTCCTTGTTTTATTTTTTTTAATTGATTTTTAGAGAGAGAGGGGAAGAGAAAAAGAAACACTGAGTTGTTGTTCCACCTATTTATGCATTCACTGATTGCTTCTTGTATGTGCCCTGACACGGGATCAAACCTGTAACTTTGTCGTATCAGGACAATACTCTAACCAACTGAGTTACTACATGGCCAGAGCTTCCCTCTTATTTTTAAAGTTTTATTTGTCCAATTAAAACTATACTCAAACTATAAAAAATTTTAATAAGGTAATTACCCTGTTTGGTTTACCCAAATCAGAACAAATTAGTAACAGGCTGAAATTAGAACTCAAAAAGTTACATCTCTTAAATCAGTGCTATCTCACAGTAATTATTGTAATTACCAGAGCTGCTATCATGTAGTTTTGACAAATTTACCAGAAATACTTAAAGAACAAATTTCAGTGGTTTTGAAAGGCAATTACTAACATACTGGACAATTTACATCACAATAGTTATTGTAATGGTTAAATGGTATTGTCTGTCAAGCATTACCTAATTATACCGTATTACAAGGCTTACCTAATATATAAACACCATAGACACCAGAAACACAAACCAGCTCTGCCAGAAGAAATTATTTATCTCAAATTATAAGTGGGAACTTGAGGCTCAAAAGTCCTCACTTGCCTCAGGTCATGCAAGGATTCCAAAACCCTTACAGAAAATTACAATGCATTAATACAAAAATTTACAATGTTTTCTAGAAGACTGAAAACCTCCCTCAAAAATTAAACTTTAAAGAAAACAAACTTAAGCAAAACACAGGATATAGGAAAGATAAATTAAAATGCTATCAACACTCACTTTTCACTTTCATTTAAGGATATTCAAGGAGGTTAGAATCTTTTTTATGACTTCAAATTGACAGCTGGATTCATTTCTCAACTTCCTCTACTTTCCATTCGTCGGCAAAACAAGATTCAGATGCCATTTCTAACTACAGGATCAACATCTTTATAGATATATATATATATCTATAGATACATATATACACATATTTTTATTGATTTCAGAAAGGAAGGTAGTGGGAGAGAAAGATAGAAACATAAATGATGAGAATCATGGATGGGCTGCCTCCGGCACACTCCCTACTGGGTAATGTAACCCTCAACAAAGGCATGTGCCCTGACCTGGAATGGAACCATGACCTCCTGGTCCATAGGTCAATGCTCACCACTAAACCACACCAGCTGGGCTCAAAATCTTTATTTTTAAGTCAATTGTTTTATTTTTATTTTTTTGTTAATCCTCATCCAAAGGATATTTTTCCATTGATTTTTAGAGAGAGTGGAAGGGAGAAGGAGAGACAGAAACATTGATGTGTGAAAGACACGTCTGATTGGTTGCCTCCTGCACACACCCCAACCAGGGCCAGGGAACCTGTAACCAAGGTAGGCGCCCCTAACCGAAATCGAACCCAAGACCCTTCAATCCATGGGGCTATGCTCTATCCACTGAGCCAAACCGGCCAGGGCTCAAATCTTTTTTTAAGCTCCTAAGTAGGAGACCAAAATCACAGATTTGAAATGTACATGTCTAGTATTAAGGATCATTTCTATTAACTGGGAATAATATGAAACTGGCATATCGTCTGAACAAATGAAAACTGATAAACAGTAGTTGAACACCAATATTTCTACTTTTTCACATACTGTATACTTTGAAGCACCACGAGATACTTTTATGTTCACCTGAGCCTTTTATTCCACTTTTCACACTTCAAAAATAATTTTTACTTTATTTTCAGTCCCTTATGTCTACAAATATTTTTATTCATTTTTAAATTCAGAATCAAGTTGCAATAAATATTCCAAAGTCAAATTGTTCAAAAAATCACTCAGCTATTCACTTACTTATAATTCTTCTTGGCAATCACTTCACAATTCATATAGTTATTTTCTTTCTTTCTAAGTCACTTTAAAAAAAAAATGATTTCTGCCGAAACTGGTTTGGCTCAGTGGATAGAGCGTCAGCCTGAGGACTGAAGGGTCCCGGGTTCGATGCCGGTCAAGGGCAAGTACCTGGGTTGCGGGCACATCCCCGGTGGGAGATGTACACGAGGCAGCTCATCAATGTTTCTCTCCCATCGATGTTTCTAACTGTCTAGCCCTCTCCCTTCCCCTCTGTTAGCTCCGTTGGTTAGAGCATTGTCCTGATATACCCAAGTTTGGGGGTTCCATCCCTGGTCTGGGCACATATAAGAATCAACCAATGGGACAGAGTGTTGGCCTGTAGATTGAAGGGTCCCAGGTTCAATTCTGGTCAAGGGCATGTACCTTGGTTGTGGGCACATCCCCAGTAGGGGGTGTGTAGGAGGCAGCTGATCAATGTTTCTCATCGATGTTTCTAACTCTACCCCTCTCCCTTCTCTCTGTCAAAAATCAATAAAATATATTTTTTAAAAAGAATCAACCAATGAATGCATAAATAAGTGGAATAACAAATCGCTGTTTCTCTCTCTCTCTCAAATAATTAAAAAATCATTTCTAGCCAGTGGTATCTAATAACTTTCTATAAATAATTATTTAAGCTAATGGAGAAAAACGGAGTACTGTGCACAGGCACACTACCTATGATTACTGTAATATAAAATTAATAAAAAATTATTCAGGCAAATATCCCATTATTTTCAGACACTAAGGCTAACCTAAAGTGCAAAATGTTATCACTTGAAAAAGCAGAAAACTTTGGAAGTCAGATAAATTATTTTTAAAATTATGTAAGATCTGGGGGAAGGGGAGAATGGGAGTTGATTAATGTGTACAGAGTTTCAGTTTTGCAAGATGAAGAGTCCCAGAGATGGATGATGGTGACAGTTGCACAACAATGTAAATGTACTTAATACCACTGAACTATACACTAAAATAGTGAAGATGATATATTTTGTTACGTGTATTTTACCATAATTAAAAATAATTTTTAAAAGTTATGTGAGAGTGATTAAAGCATCTTAGGGTACATAAAATTCATTGCTATCTAAAGTGGTTCTAAGTCTTCATTTTCAGAGAAAACCTCAAATAGAGACAGAAATCCTATTAAAACAAAACAAAACAAAATACTGCCAAACAATTAAAGCAGGCATAACTAGCTGAAAATATTAACCTGGGGGGGCGGGGGGGTAGTAGAGAGGAATGATGTGAAAAATGAATAAAATGTTAGCAAGCATAAAAAACATGAAAAATTTGCAAACTGTCTCCTTGGTGTTCAAAAGTTTAAATAACTCTCTAGTAGCCAAAAGAAGGGAGCTGTTTCAAACTTACAGAATTTGTTTTAAGAATTTATGTTGGGACATGTTTGACAATTTTGTGAATTATCCAAATATTTTTACCTCTTTCCAGAGAGCCACTGTGTGTCTCCTTTCAAAACAGAGGTGAGAAAAAAATAATAAACTACTGAAGTCTATATAGCCATTTGCCTGCAAGACCAAGTTAAAAAAAAGTGACATCTAAGTATTTTTAAAATAAGATTCCTTGTTTGCCTGCTAAAAGATTTTGAAGTAATTTAGAATCCTAATTGCAGCTTAAACATTCACTGGCTGTGCAATCATAGGCAAGTTTCTTAAGTTTTCTGTGCCTTAGTTTATCTCTAAAATGGAGATAATGCCACTACGTCAAAAGTAGGCTTGAACAGTTGTGTATATATAAATATGTGTGTATATATGTACATATATATGTATGTACATATACACACATACATGCAAAAACACTTAACAGGTCTGACACACAGTAATTACAATACATGTGCACACCACTATTATTATACTATTATCATTACTTTTATATATCCCACTGATTCCAGTTATAAATTAGTAAACTGGAGTCTCTCCAGAAAAATGCACTAAGAGATTTTGAACACAACTGCAGAGGACTCATAGATCCCAGATTAGAGAAGTCCAAAGATGATCCACTGCAACTTGGTTTTATAGTAAAGTGGTTCTTAAACTCTCCTGTGCCATGGACCTCTTCTCAGAATTACGTTCTTAAGTATATAAAATACTAAGAATCACAAAATAAACCAATTATATTTATCAAAGTATTTTTAAATTTCAAATTTAATAATAAATGTGCTTCACTGATACATTAAATAACAAGATTATATAAAATAAAGAGTAATGAGCATAAACAATGACAAGATTATGTTAAAACTAATACGATATGAAAATATTTCTCTTGTTGCATCCATTAAAATTACAAGAATTTTCATTTTTAGATTTCAATTAGAAGCTAGTGAAAATAAGCAATTTTTTTTCCTTAACCAAGTTCATGGACTTCCTCATTCTATCGAGGGACCTAAATTAAAAACTTTTGGCTCAGGGGAAAGTACAAAAATAAGTTCTGAAGCCAGAGCTTTATGTTGTAGAAGTCAGACTTCAGACTTTAGTCCCCACATTATTCACACCTGAATGACCTTAGACATCAAACTTCTGAGCTTGGGTTCACTTATTTAGAATAATTCCTATAACATGAAGTTACAAGGATCAAATATTAGTTAACAAAATGCTAAATGACCAGTGTTGTTTTTTAGTTTTTTCATTGATTTTAACATATATTCAGCCCCAAATATGTAGTGACATTAATTTTCAATAAAACTCATAGGAGAAACATTTAAAATCATATACTGATTTGCAAAGAAAATGAATGATTAATGGAAACAATTTTATGTAAACAGTTTAGCGAGAGCCATGATTTGTCATTAGAATGACTTGTATCTAAATCTCAATCCCACTACTTTACTTTTACTAAATTACTTAACCTCTCCACCTCTCATCTGTAAAATACTGCTTTGTTGTTTTAGAAACGAGAGGATCTAGCATCAACACTCAATAAATGGAGCTATTATTACACTTCACATTTTAACAAAGCCAAAGAAATCAACTTGGAACTCAAAAGTTTATTTTGGAATTATGCTGATATAAATAAAACTTCACAGTCCTTCTTTTGCCTGGCAAAACACTGAAATCTGCACCACTGAAACGGCATAACATTCCTAACACAAACTGGCATTGTTTAAAATCATAATCTGATTTCTTTTTCTGCCCAATGAAAAAAGAGTATAAAAATCGGTCAACAGAATGGCTTCAATCAATTTTAAAACTTTTCATGATTCGCCTGGAATATCCTAATGAATGTTTATTATCAACGGTGGACATACTCTAAAGTAACTGTGTCAATTTAAAGCCCAATTTAAAGCTCTCACATTGATCAGATACACTGAAGATTAAAAAGTGAGCGCATGTCATTTTCTTTACCCGGAATATTTACAGATTAATATCCCTCCCTTCCCCCGGAAAGACTGGCCGATCAATTATACAACCTGTAAATTCCTTCCCTCATTGAAAAGATTCTTTTATGGGCATAGTTAACAAGTGCCAAGTTGCGAAGTTGCAGCTTTGCTGGTTTGACGTTTTCACAATGCAAGAACAGTATGATCAGGAATCTACTCAAAGCTTTAGCCAGGCAGTCAGCTGATGCTCACTGCACACAAGAGAAAGACAGAAAGAAGAGAAATTAAACCTCGAATATTTGTGTAAGGCAGCTATCTATTACCTAAAATTAAAACAGGCCAACAGCTGACGTTCCAATTACAAGTTTAAAAAAGCGTTTATATCGTTAAGTCACAATACAAAAATTGGCTTTCCCCGGACTTAGGTTTCTCTCGTGCTTGGAATTTTCTTTGCAAAGGGCTTGTAGCCGTTCAAAAAAAACCACGTCCTCGTCCCGGAGCCGCTGCTTGAGTAACTTTTACAAAAGGTCAAAGCGGTGCCTTTCAAACCTTCCGAACCCTGTTGGCTTCTCCTCGGTTCACAGCAACTCACTTTCCACCCACAGAACGTTCCAACAGAGACCAAGACACGGGGACCCAACAAAACTGGGTGGGGGTTGCAGAAAGGAGCTGGCAACTTTCTTCCCCAGCACACATACCGAATTTCACCTTCCTCGCTCCGCCGCCCCACATGTTGCTCGCCTCTCCCAGCGGGCCCCGCGCACCTCGCTCCCACCCCCGGAACGCGCCCACCTGATCGTCCTTCCCCGCAGGCTCCGCCCCCCGCGCCCGTTGGCCTCCGCCAGGGGCTCCATATGGGACACCTTCCCCTTCCTCCGAGCCTCACGCCCCTCCAGACCAGGCTCGCGTCCCCCGATT